AGAAAGCAGAGCAGATTTTAAAATAAGCGCCGGCAGATTTTGAAAATTTTCGCCGCCGGAGATCATCGTCCCTGGTCCAAAACTTCAAATTGTCCAATTTCCCAACACTGGTGTAAAGTAAATGGGTGCTTAATTTCGGGGGTGACTAATTTTGGAAAAATACGCTAGTGTGGCTAATTTTATGAGTCACGTAAAAATTCACAGATAATGCATTTGGTTTCCAATGAAAAGTATTATTTGTATAACTTCAAATATTTGTTACCAAATTAGTATGGTTTTTCATGAGGTTTCGATAGTATATGTATATAATATGGTTGCTTTTTAAAAAAATTTTTTTTTTACCAAATAATTTGCCCGAACAATTATTTAGATTTTTTTTAAAAAAATGGCTCACCATGAACATGAATATAACTCGTTAAAAAGAAATCGCTCTTCCTCATACCCGGCCAGAAATGAAATTGATTTTGGCCCAAATAAATCTAATAAACATTCAAGGACTGCCACTCCTAATAATCGTATCGTAGCAGATCATTACAACTCGAAAGTTGATGTTGGAGTTGAAATACGTCGAGAATCTACAATTATTTATCTTAGAAGTTTTAATAATTGGATAAAAAGCGTTTTAATTGGGAAATATGTTAAGAGGGGTGAAAGCGCCCTTGATTTGGGTTGTGGTAAAGGTGGTGATCTATTTAAATGGAATAAAGCAAAAATCAATAAATTAGTAGGCTTAGGTAAAGATTTCTTTTTTTTTTTCTTTTTTAAAGAATAGCAATTCAGATTTCTAATGAAATACCTATTATTTAGATGTTGCCGAAGTATCTATAGAAGATGCAAGAAAGAGATGGGAAGAAATGAAAGGTAATCAAATAATTGGTTTGGCATCATAAAATAAAACAATTCTTTGGAAGTATCCTACTAAATATATTATTTTATTAATCACTTCAGGCAAAAAATTTGAAGCAGAATTTCATGTTTTGGACTGTTTTTCTGTAAGGTTACATGAAATTTGATTTTTTTTTCCCTGGATAAAGCCAAATTTTATTGAAATGATTTTTTATTATAGACATCAATATCGACCAAAATCCAAAGCGATATATTATTCGATATTGTTAGCATGCAATTTTGTGTTCATTATTCTTTTGAGACCGAAGAGAAAGCACATATGGCTTTAAAAAATGTCACATCAAACTTAAAACGCGGAGGAATATTTATTGGAACTGTCCCCGATGCTTATTGGATAGTGTGAGAATCTTTTTTAAATCAATTGATTTTATATACATTATTTTTGATGATTATTATAACAAAAACTTTATACTTTTTATATAATTAGTAAAAAACTGAAATCGTTGCCTAAAGACCAATTGAAATTTGAAAATCCAATATACTCTATAAGGTTTGAACAAAGAGACGAATTTCCAAAATTTGGTCATAGATACTGGTTTTATCTTAAAGATGCAATAAATGATTGTCCAGAATATCTTGTACATTTTCCCACCTTTGAAAAGTATGTGTTGAAAAAACTTATATCATTAAATATTTTGGAATGATTTAATAATTATATTTATTAATTGCCTTTCATAGACTAGCCAACGAATATGGACTTCAATTAGAATACAAGAGAAGATTCCATGATTTATACAATGAAGCTAAAGAAGATTCACATTATAAGGATCTTTTATATACTATGCGTGTCGTTGATAGATTCGATGAAGAAGAAATGTCTGAAGAAGAATGGGAAGCTACGGGTAAATAAAAAATTCGCCCTATTTTATTTTGTTTTTTTTTATAAATTCGAAAACCTAATTTGATTTTATTTCTTTTCAAAATTAAGGAATGTATATTGGATTTGTTTTTAAAAAAATAAGATGATAAAATTAAATATGTCTTGTGAAGGTTCACGTTAATTAATTATATTTATTTCTAGCAAAGGATTCACATGATATTATAATTTTTTAGCCGAATGCTCATGTGACATTTGCGCAATATGTATAAAAATTGTGATTTTGTTGATCAAATGATTTCATGCCTCTTAATGTTTCACTTTAAAGCATCCCTAAAGAATAACTTACTTCAAAGTTCCAATATTGTATCAAAATTTTCTCGCCAATTATTATTAAGTCGAAAATTTACGATGAGTAGACTTGAAGGAAAAAATGTATTAATGTAATGAATTTTTGATTAAATAAATTTATGAATGAGAATTCAACTTATCATTGAATAAATTTTAGTACAGGAGCTTCCGCCGGTATCGGCGAAGCATGTGCTAAGGAATTTGCTAAAGCTGGTTCAAATTTGGTAATTGAAAATTGAATTTAAACTGTTGTATAAAATCCATTGGTAATTACGCTTTTATTTAGATTCTTGCAGCTAGAAGAATTGAACGTCTTGAAAAACTTTGTGAAGAACTTTCCAAAAATCATCCTTCAATTAAAGTATCCAAACATCAATTAGATGTTCGTGAAAAAACACAAGTTGAACAACTAATTTCATCTATACCTTCAGATTTGAAAAACATCGATGTACTTGTTAATAATGCTGGTATGCACAATTAGTTCTCTTTTTAACCAAAATGAAATAGCCAATCTCATTTTGTGAGTATGAATAGGAATGGTTATGGGGAAAGATCAAATTGATAGTGTTACAAGTGAAGCTATTGATACAATGATTGATACAAATGTTAAGGGTTTGTTATATGTAACTCGGGCGATCCTTCCAATAATGAAAGATCGTCAAAAGGGACATATAATTAACGTCGGATCAGTTTCAGGTATATTCACTATTACATGTTCATATTGTTGAGAATTTTCTTAATAATATATTTCTTATAGGAACTCAAGTTTATGTCAATGGTGGCGTATACTGTGCTTCAAAACACGCCGTCGATGCGATTTCAAGAACCTTGCTTCTTGAATTGGTAATTATATTAACTATGTAACTTAATTTTATCAAAAGAAATAAATCAAATCCATTATTATTAGGTTGATACACCAATTAGAGTGACACAAATTAATCCAGGTACGATAATGAATGATCTAATCCGCTTTGACGAATTACCTAAACCTTTATTCCTTTCTTATAGGAATGGTAGAAACCGAGTTCTCTATAGTTCGATTCGGTGGAGATAAAACAAAAGCTGATAAAATTTATGAAGGCTTGGTAAATCCAGTCTTGACCTTTAATTATGCTTATCATTATTATTATTTATTATTATTATTCACATTGTCGTTGTTTTTTTCTTTGTTATTAGAAACCTTTAACTGGCGAGGATATTGGTAACTACATTTCAAGTTTGACAAAACTTGTATTTATGATTCCTAACATTTATTTTATACAACCGAAATTATTTAGCCGAAACTATTGTCTTTGCTGCATCGCGACCCAACCATGTAAACATTGCTGATATATTGATTTATCCAGTTAATCAGGTAAAAGCCTTTTTTAACTTGAATCATATTTTCTTTTTTTATTCTTTTTAATTATTGAAATTGCCATCGTAATATTTTTAGGGAGCTGTTACAACTGTTCATAGACCATTATTAAATAAGAAATCAGCTTGATTAAATTAAAAAAAACAAATTAAATTTTTTTATTCAGATGAGACAATTATGAATTTCGTGATATAAATAACCATTTGCCCAGGGACGATGATCTCCGGCGGCGAAAATTTTCAAAATCTGCCGGCGCTTATTTTAAAATCTGCTCCGCTTTCTGCGGCTTATGATTA